CTGTCATCTGTTACTGTACCAGTACCACCACACTGTCTTAACCACCATGGCAGTGTAGTAGGATTTCATATCAGGAAAAGAAATGCCTCCTACCTCGTTTCTCTTTTTAAGGAGTGCTTTGCTTATTCGGGGTCCCTTTCTATTCCAAATGAAATTGGAGATTGTCTTTTCCATCTTGCTGAATGGAATTGGTATTTGTATTGGGATTGCATTGAAGGTGTAAATTGCCTTTGGTAGTATTGCCATTTTTACAATATTTAATCTTCCTATCCGTGAGCAAGGTATATTCTTTCATTTCTCTGGGTCTCTCTCTTTTTTTTTTGTAATAATGTTTTGTAATTTTCTTTCAATATATTTTTGGTGTTTTTAGTTAGATTTACTGCCAAGTATTTAATCTTGTGATTAGAGATTGTGAAAGGTATTGTTTTTCTTTGCTCCAGTTCTGTATTCTCCTTGTCACTATAGAGAAATCCAATTTAACAGTAGTTTTCTTGCTGAGTCTTTAGGGTTGTCTAAGTATACTATTTTTTTTAAAGTATACTGTTATATCATCTGCATCACTAAGACTTCCAATACAATATTGAATAGGAGAGGTGATAGTGGGCATTCTTGCCTAGATCCTTTTCTCATTGGGAATACCTTTTAATCTCTCTCCATTGGGAAGAGTGTTGGCTCTCTGGATTGTGTATATGCTTTTTTACTATGTTGAAAAAATTCCTTTCTATTCCTATCTTGTTGAGTGTTTTAATCAGGAAAGGGTGTTGGATTTTGTCAAAGGCCTTTTCTGCATCAATATTGATAGGATCATATGGTTCTTGTTCTTTGCTTTTTTGATGTGATGAAGTACATACATTGTTTTTCTTTTTTTGAACCATCCTTGCACAGTTGTTATGAATCCCATTTGGTCATGGTGAATTATAATTTTTTTTTATATGTATTGGATTTTATTGGCCAGGATTTCATTCAGGATTTTTGCTTCTGTGTTCATGAGAGATTTCGGGCTATAGTTTTCTATTATGGTAGTATCTTTACCTGGCTTTTAGTATCAAGGATATGTTTGCTTCATAGAATAAATCTGGAGAATTCCATCTTTTTCTATTTTCTGAAATAGTTTATGTAGAGATTGTGACAGTTTTTCTTGGAATGCTTGATAAAATTCACTTGTGAAATCATCTGTTCCAGGGCTTTTTTGGACTAGAATTTATTACCTTTTCAGTTTCTTCTTGTAATGAGTCTGTCCAGGTGTTCCATTTCGGTTTTTGTCAGTTTAGATTGTTTGTGATTTTCTAAGTATTTTTCCATTCCCTCCAGGTTTTCATATTTGTTTAACAATAGTTTTCATAATATTTCATTGTTACCCTTTTAATTTTAGTTGGTTCCCTTGTGACATTGCCCTTTTCATCTCTTACTTGGATTATTTGTGTCTCTTCCTTCTTTTCTTGTTAGTTTAGCTAGTGGTTTTTTTGTTGTGGGTCCCCCCCCCCATTTTATTGACCTTTTCAAAGAATTGACTCCTTGTTTTGTTGATGGTTTCCATGGCTTTTCGGCTTTCTATTTCATTCCTTTCTTTCCTAATTTTTATAATCTCAGGTTTATTTAGAGGGTATTACGTTTTCTTACTGTTCTTTTTCAGTTTGTTGGAGACGTTGGGTTAGAGTCAATGGTCATTTTCTTTTTCTTCTGTGGTTGATGTGTTTGCTTAGTGTTATAAATTTACCGCTGATTGCGGCTTGGCTATTTTCCAGAGGTTTTTGTTAAGTTGTGTTTTCATGTTCATTTGTTTCAAGAAACCTTTTCATTTCATTTTCTGTTTCTTCTAGGATGCACACTCATGTTCAGTTAAGGTGTAGTTTAGCTTCCAACTGCATAAATTTTTCTCCTTTATCCTCTTTTTATCAGTTTCTAATTTTGTAGCTTTGTGGTGTGAGAAGATGTATATTTTCCTGTGTTTTTGAACTTGTTGATGTTTGCCTTGTGACCAAAAATGTTATCTATTCTGGAGGATGTTCCATCCACTTTAGAGAAGAAGGTATACTGTGCTTTTTTGGGGTGCATTAGCCTATATCTGTGAGATCGAGTTGGTTTATAGTATGAATTACTTCTTCATCGTCTTGAGTTTCTTTCTCAAAGTTCTAGCTCTTTTTGAGAGTGGTGTATTGGAGTCTCTGAGTACTATACTGATGTTGTCTATTTCCTTTTTCAGTTTTGTTAATGCTTGTTTTATATATTGGCAGGTCTTAAATGATGCATACATACATATATATTATTGTTATGTCCTCTTATTCTTTTGACCCTTTAATCATACCTTCCTTGTCCTTTGTGATGGTTTCTACATTGAAATCTGTTTCATCAGAGATTAATATTGCTACTCCTTCTATTTCTGGTTGCCATTTGCTTGGTATATTTTGTCCTCCCTTTTATTTCTAGTCTTTATCTTCATTTTCAGGTGGGTTTCTTGTAGATAGCATATTGATGGATTTTTTTTTTAATCCAGTCTGCTACTCCTTTTTTCTTCAGTGGTGCCTTTAAACCATTCACAGTCAGTTTGATTATTGAGAGGTAAGGTTTTGTTTCTATTTTTCTGTTCTCTTTAGTATTGCTGACGATCCTGCTTTTTGTGGCACCTCTCTAAGACATAAGGCAAAGAGTGGAGATTTGATTGGAAAACCAGCAAGCCTTGGTTTTCCCTTTGAGAACGAGCTCCACCTGTCTTGCTCCCTTCTAATTTACTTTAAGGGGTTCTATGCGATCCAGCCAAAAAGCTGGACCTCCCCACCCATCCCCAAATTCCCACTGTGCTCCCGTGCATTGCGCTGCATGTTCCTTTATGTCGTGACGTTGTCAGTGGCTGCCATACATCCCGGTGTTGTCATTGGCTCCTTTCAGGGATGCATGTTGTCCCCATACCTTTTCCATCCATATGCATAAATTCTTTAGGACGAAGAGTGTGGCATCAGGATAAAAGTAAGACTAATAGACAACTTTAAAGATGCAGATGGTGCAGCCTTACTTGGCTAAACTGAGGGAGGACCTGAAGTTTGCTGTAGAAGGTTGAGGACTATAGTCTTCAATAGTGATCAAAGCTCAACATCAAAGATTCTGAATATTGGACCAGTTGGCAGCACCATTATAGATGGAGGAGAGATTGAGGTTGGTAACAATTTGAACTTAACTTGGTTCCACAATGAACACTCTAGGTACCAGCAGTCAGGAAACAGAAAGACAAATTGCTCTGGGAAAGTCTGTCAGGGACCTCTCTTTAGAGTACTGATGAGCCACAATGTCAGTCTAGGGTATAAGGTGCCCAATCCAGGCCTTGGTCTTCACAGTTACTTGCTATGCATCAGAGAGCTGGACAATAACTAAGGATAATGGAAGAAGAACCAATGCCTTTGAGTTGTGGAAGAGAGTATTGGATATACCAATGACCTCCAGGAGAGCAAATTGTTCTGTCATGGAGAGGGTGAAACCAAGTTTCTCCTTGGAGGCCAAGATTTTGAGGCACTTAATTTGGGTATGTGGCCAGAAGAGACTTGTCCTTGGAGAAGGACATAATGCTTGGAAGGGTAGAGGGACAGTGCAGGAGAAGAAAAGCCCGGAAGACATGGATCGACAGGATAACTGGGGAAATAGGGGTAGGTGTGTCGGTGAGACTGGCTCAGGATAGGGCAGGGTTCACAGCTGTTTTATATAGAGTTGGTATGAGTTGCAGGTAATTCATTGGTACATAACAACAGTATTTATTTTGTTTAAAATACACTAAATTGCATCATTAGTATAAATTACCAATTACCTTAACCTTCTAAGGTTGTTTTATCACAAGTGTTTTTACTACAGCCCCCTTAGCTTCATTATTTCCTGGTTCTTCCTGTTATAAAATTCTTGGGCTTCCCCCCCCCCCCCTTATTCTCCCAAGAGCTTTCTCTGTTTTAAAGTTAGGTTCTCTTCACTATATACACAGGTTCTCTTCACTATATACACAGTGGGCCAGATAATAATTCTTGTGCCTACCCTGTGTATTGTAATTAGTAAACCATCCTTGGCCTGTACTTAATAGAACCCAATAGCTCACCGTCTGGAAACCTGCTGAGGGATCAGCTGTGAGTCTGTTTTATCTTGATGGCACATAATAATCATCACCTGCACATCTTGTAAGGAGACTGCCCATCTTAAGGCAACTCCGTTACCCTTTCCAATGGTTCTTTTGTTCCACCTTCGTTTTTGCTCTTTTTCTCCTTCCATCTTCATTTTAAGAATGAATGTTACTTGGCTTCCCTTTTTCTTTTTACTTTTACCCTCCTAAGTATCACTGAAAATTCTCCTTTCTTGTTTTATATCCAATGAACCTTGATGTCAATAGAACTACCACTTAGCAGGCCATATCGTCTTTATATTTCACTCCTGAGACTACTGCTGTACTTTATTCAGTCAGTCCTAAAATCCTGTGTATATTTTCTCCTTGATATTTCTAAAACCCATCTGTTTTCTTTATTTGTATAATGGACAATTGTGTTCTACCAGTGATATATCAACCTGTTTATTAATCTCCCTACATTAAGTGTAGTTCAGTGCTACTTTATTTTCTGCATTGTTTCCTGAATATCCTTTTCAAACTAGTTAATATCCACTGTAGACCTTTTGAATTATGATTTCTGGTAAATTTTATTCCACTCTTTGTTTCATTGTCTTGTTTTAACCTTTCATTATCCCTGCAAACTCCTCTCTCTCCAAGCTCTACTTAATGAGATCCTTGCTTATTAAAAGGCATTTTTTTCTATATTAAAATATTTGTGTTATTTTTAGGATAATTATATTATGAAAAGCCAATGCTCATTCATTTACTTCTTTGTATGTTTTTACCACCAATGATGAAATTCATAATTGTACAATAGGGAAAATAGAAAAATGTGAATATCGTAATTAATAGCCTAAATATAATGCATCTGTAACATTTCACTACTAAGTTATAAAATACTTAAACAAAGTTTCTTTTCTTGCAGGTATTTATAACAGCAATGATGTAGCAGTTTCTTTTCCAAATGTAGTGTCTGGTTCAGGGTCTAGTACTCCTGTCTCCAGTTCTCATTTACCTCAGCAATCTTCTGGTCACTTGCAACAAGTGGGCGCTCTTTCTCCCTTAGCCACATCATCTGCAACTACTGCTGTGGCTACAACTCAGGTAAATTATTATAATGAAGTAACTTGAGTAGATGAGTTTGTTGTCTTTGTTTTTCAAAATTTTGTTAAAAATGTATACACAGCAGAAATATACATGATGTTGATGTCATCATTGTTACTTTTAAAAATAAGTTTGATTTGGTCAAAGTAAATGGCATAGGGATTATTAATGGAGTTCATGAAACACCTCAATTTGAATTGGCTTGTTGGTTAAAAATACTAGATATTTTGACATGACATGTATGAGATATGTGAGTTCCAAATGAATCTATGAAAAAAAACCTCATTCTTTTCCTAGTTTTTATAATTTTTCCCGAATATAGTTAGTAATGGGTAAATATATTAAATATATGTACTATTTTATAAATTCCGGATATAAGTCCCTTATCTGACATGTCATTACCAAATATTTTTTCCCAGTCTGTGGCTTCCCTTTTTACTCTATTGGAGAAGTTTTTGGATGTGCATAGGGATTTGATTCTTAGAAGGTCCCATTCATCTATTTTAGCGTCTCCTGGTTGTAGGTTTTACAAGAAGCTTGGAAGATTGTTTATGTTGTGGATTAGGACCACTAAAGTTCTTCCAAGCTTTTCTTGAATGAAGTTTATAGTCCTTGGTTTCAGTCCTAAGTCCATGATCCACCTTGAGTTGGTTTTTGTATGTGGAGTGAGGTGTGGATCTTGTTGTAGTCTTCTGCATACAGCTTTCCAATTTTGCCAGCACCATTTGTTAAAAAGGCTGTCATTTCCCCACTTAACTGATTTCTTCTCCTTGTCAAAAATCAGTTGACCATAGGTAGATGGGCTGATTAATGGATTCTCAATTCTATTCCATTGATCTATGTGTCTGTCATTGTACCAGTACCATGCTGTCTTAACCACCACGGCAGTGTAGTAGGATTTGAAATCAGGGAGAGAGATGCCTCCTACATTTTTTCTATTTTTAAGGAGTGCTTTGCTTATTCGGGGCTTCTTTCCATTCCAAATGAAGCTAGAGATTACCTTTTCCATCTCCTTGAAGAATGGTATTTGTATTGGGATTGCATTGAACGTATAAATTGCCTTTGGTAGTATTGCCATTTTCACAATATTGAGTCTTCCTATCCATGAGCAAGGGATATTCTTCCACTTCTCCAGATCTCTTTTTGTTTCTTGTAGTAATGTTTTGTAATTTTCTATGAATAGGTCCTTTGTGCTTCTGATTATATTTACTCCCAAGTATTTAATTAATCTTGCGATTAGCTATTGTGAAGGGTATTGTTTTTCTTGAACACCACAATAAAATAAAGGTAAATAATCCAATAGAAAATGGGCACAGGATATGAACAGACACTTCACCGAAGAAGACATTCAGATGGCCAATAAGCACATGAAGAAATGTTCAAAGTCCCTAGCTCTAAGAGAGATGCAAATCAAAACAACTATGAGATATCATCTCACCCCAGTAAGAATAGCAAAATAGAACAGCAAGCAACAAATGCTGGCGAGGATGTGGAGAAACTGGAACTCTTATTCACTGTTGGTGGGAATGTAAGATGGTGCAACCATTGTGGACGGCGGTGTGGCGCTTTCTCAAAAAATTGCAAATAGAGATACCATTTGACCCAGGAATCCCATTACTGGGAATATACCCCAGAGAGACCATGTCTGCCATCCAAGCAGATATATGCACACCCATGTTTATTGCAGCTTTGTTTACAATAGCAAAGAGTTGGAAGCATCCTAAGGGCCCATCAACAAACGAATGGATAGAGAAACTGTAGTATATCCACACAATGGAATACTACGCAGCATTGAAAAACAAGGAACTCATGCAATATTATTCAAAGTGGGTGACCCTGGAGGACAGTATGCTGAGTGAAATATCTCCGTCACAAAGGGACAAATACTGCATGGTGCCACTGTTGTAGAATGGGTCTGTCATCAGGGTGGGGGTATGACAGAAAAAACTGGATAAATTATGTATATTGTATTGAAGCAGATGAGGGAAAGAACAGATTAGAAGTGATATATGATTGAGTACTATGGTTAGCACAGGAATCCAGAATTAAGGTTGCATAGAGAAGTGTACGGGGGTGGGGGGAAGGGACGTGGGAATTGTATACTAATGAAGGAATTTTTTTTCTTTTTTTTTTCTCTCCGGAGGGGGAGACGAGCTGGTGGGGAGGGGTGGGAAGGGAGAAAATTGCGGCAATGAATGAATGGAAATCCAAAACCTCTGTAAAAAAATAAATAAAAAATAGAAAAAAATGTATATACTAGTAATATCAAATATAGTAAATAGTAATGGGTGTGGCTGTATTTATTTTTAATTTCTTTTAAAAAGTAGGGCTCATGAAGTTGTGAACCAGTTTTTAATTAATGGTTTAAAAAATTCACTTTATAATTAAAAGTACACAATAATAAATGGACATCAGCAGTCTAGATTTCAAAAATAATATAAAAAGGGAATGATATCTTTAAATACGACGTGGTTTCTTCTTGATGATGAACAACAAATAGTTGTAAATATTCTACTTTCTGGTAAATAAGATATATGTAGATTTTGCGGTTGTTTGCCTCTTTCCTTCACTGCAGATTTGTGACTTAATATTAGACTTGTTTTTATGTACCTTTGAGTTGGAAGTAAGTCATAGCTGACTCTCCAGATTGTTTTCAGATGAAGTAAATCACATCGAAGGAGATTGCCCTTCTCTGACCTGCGGAGTAGTAGCTGGCAAATTCAAAGCATGTGCCTTTGGGTTAGGTTAGCAGTATATTCTTTATTCACTAGGCCAAGAGAACTCCATAAGTAGTTTTCAGGAAATTTCTATAAACTTGAATTTTGTGTGTCCCTAGTTTACATTCTTTGGATTTTAAAGTGGTGGTGTGTGTATTGCCCTCCCCCTGCTTTGGGAATCCCAGAACATTTAATCGTGCTAATGCGAAACCTATACTTGGACGAAGAGGCACTTGTCAGAACAGAGCAGGGTAACACTGCATGGTTCAACATTGGGAAGGGTGTATGCCAGGGATGTGTCCTGTCTCCATACCTTTTCAACCTGTATGCAGAGCAGATTATCCAGGAGGCTGGGCTCTATGAGGAGAAATGTGGCATCAGGATTGGTGGAAGATCTATTAACAATCTGCGTTATGCAGATGACACAACCCTGCTTGCTGAAACTGAGGAGGACCTCATGCACTTGCTACAGAGGGTCAAGGACTGCAGCCTTCAGTATGGACTGAGGCTCAATATCAAGAAGACAAAAATTCTCACCACTGGACCAATTGGTAGCATCAGGATGGATGGCGAAGAGATTGAAATTGTTCACAGCTTCAATTTGTTCGGCTCCTGGTCAACACTCTTGGCACCAGCAGTCAGGAAATCAAAAAACATATTGTGACAGGAAAATCTGTGGTTAGGGACCTCTCTAAAGTACTCAAGAGCAAGGGTGTCTCTCTGGAGACTAAGGTGCACCTGATACAGACCATGGTCTTTGCAATCACTTGTTAATGCATCAGAGAGTTGGACAATGACTATGGAAGACAGAAGGAGAAGTGATAGCTTTGAGCTGTGGTGCTTGAGAAGAGTATTGAATGTACCCTGGACTGCCAAGAAAACAGACAGATTCATCCTGGAGAGGGTTAAACCAGGCTAATCCTTGGAGGCAAGGATTCTGGGGCATTGTCTGACATACTTTGGGCATGTTGCAAGGAGGAACAGGTCCTTGGAGAGGGACATCATGCTTTGAAGGGTGGAGGGATGGTACAAGAGGGGAAGACCCTCTGTGAGATGGATTGATTCAGTGACTGGGGTATTCGGGATGGGTGTGTCAGAGGCAGTGCGATTGGCACAGGATAGAGTAGGGTTTAGGGCTGTTATACATAGGTTCGCTATGAGTCGCAAATAACTCGACGGCACATAACAGCAACATAACATGCATCAAAGCACAGCATTAAATCAAATATTAGAATGGCCAAAAAAGGATAGTTCAAGACAGAAAATTAATGATATAATTATGCAGGAGAAGAATGGGCAATCTCCCTCTGTGCAATTAATTGCCTTGGAAAACCCGCTGGAGGGTCAGCTGTGGGTCTGTTCTGATTCTGTGGTACACATCAATAACACGACAATTAATTAGACAATTAAAATTTCTCTTTCAATCTTTTGAAACTCTAAAGAGGTTGATTGGTTTGGGACGGTTTTTCTTTAGCTTATTTCACTAGAATAGTGAGATAGTTGTAAGTAACAAGAGCTGGAAGTTAGAGTGAAAGGATAAGTGAGTAAAATGGTTCTTTTAAATAGTTTTATTGATTTTAATTAAGTACAACCATATGCTGTTGATAGCTTTATATTCTTGGTCAAAGTTTTACATTATTAACATTTTAAATTTACATATTCCTTTCGTTATTAAGTCTGTTTTAATTATTCTATGGTTAAAACCAGGCTGTGAATTAAGCAAAATCTCATTTCTTCTCATTCATTTTATGTTCATAGGTTTAGGGATTGGTTTGGGGAAATAGTAGTGAAGAGAAATTCATAGCCAGAGGGAAAATTCTACTTAACATGTGACTCAACTAAAGAACAAAGAAATCATAGTTGCAAGTAATCCAGGATCCAGTCCAATTAAAATCTTTACTGTTTATCCCCTTTCCATGTTTCAGTAAGATGGGTCTCTTATAAATATGATCATCATCCAGTTAACGTCAAATACTACATGCTGAGACAGCTACATCCATGTTTCTGTCTTAACAGTAAATGCATTCTGCCTTCAAGCGGAAGCTTATTTAGCTTGGCTTATCTGGTGCTGCTGTAGCAACCATCAGTCTCCAGGCAACTGAGGCAGGTTAACCTCTCAGTTGAACTGAGTGCAGAAGTACTTCAATTTAGCTGTCTGAGACAATAGTAATGGTGTTAAATGTGAAAAATGTGAAATTTTTCTGGGCACTGTAAGAGAAAGGACATAAAAATACATAGATGAAACAATGTTTTAATAGGATTCTTGAAAATTGGGATGTATTT